GCTGTGCAGGGGCCCAACGCACAGAGCAAGACTTACTTTAGCAGTGTGCTAGTACCCACTGAGTCCACCCCTTGAGTGTGTCACTTGTGGAGGTGTTTGGGTGGTGGTGCTTCTATGTGGTCTGAAGCTGTCCATTGGGTGTTCTGGCTCTGGGGCAAGGTCAGCCACTGCCTGTGTTCTACCCCGGGGCCACCAGGCAAAAGCTACAAAGCGATATACAGATGGCTGATTCTTGTGCTGGGCTTGGAGGTGCCCAGGCAAAGCCAAGACTGGCTGCTTCCAGTGCCAGGCCTGGGGCCACTTGATGAGAGGTATGGGGCTTGCTGAGGCCAGATGCTGTTTATTTGAGAGAATTTAGGAAAATCTGAAGCAAGAGCGAAGACAGGCCAATCCAATGGTAAAGCCACTGGAAACAGCTTGGGTGGGCCTGAACTTGGGTGGGGCAGGGCCTCAGGGAATCACTAGGGTGGGGCAACCAGTGTGAGCCAAGTTGCTGGAGTCCCCGGTATGGCACCTGTCTGTCTGCCTGCCATGTCAGGGAAGGGCTCACTAAAGGAACAACAGCCTCCACCAGCACCTCTGTTTGGGAGAAAGTTGCCTCTTCAGCTCTCACCCCGATGCCAAACAAGTCAGTTTTTCTCCATATATCTCTGGTGCCTTTCAAGCTGCCTCCCCCATGCTGGAGCCTGGAGGGAGCAAGTCCATGTAAGTCCATGCACAGGCCTTTTAAAAGAAACTGCCTGGGACTCCAGAAGCCTCAGCCTCCCTCTACGTCAGTTCCCACTGGTTTTTCCAGCCAGAAGTTATGGCACTTCTCTTCCTGGCACTGGAACCCTGAGCTAGAGGGCCTGGTGTGGGACAGGGACCCCTCACTCCTCTGGGAGGAACTTCCCAGCCAAGGCACCCCTCCTGATTCTTTTCAATGTTATTTTTTTTTCTTTATTGATTTTAGAGAGAGAGGAAGGGAGAGGGAGAGAGATAGAAACATTGATGAGGGAGATGATTGGCTGCTTCCTGCACGCTCCTCCTTATACAGCTAGAGAGCCTGACCATCACTTTGTAAGGATTTTTAAAAGGTATGGTAGAATAGAAGGAACACAGACCGAAATCTAAGGGGTTTGGATTGAATGCCTCTTGCTATTATTTGCTGCAGAAAGGCTCCATTTCCTCATAGATAAAAATGATAAAAACACTTCCCTGGGTTTTCCTGTGGAAACCCCCACATTCACCGGATGACTGTAGCTTTCTCTCCACACCATGGCACGTGCTAGTCCACGGATATCAGTATACTCCAAAGAGGGTGATCCTCTGTCAAAAATGTCACTTTGCCTGCTGAGTTCAAGGTTCCCATTCGACCAGACACTGTGAACTTTGTTCACACCAACTTGTGCAGAAACAACAGACAGCCCTATGCTGTCAGTGAATTGGCAGGTCATCAAAGCAGGGCTGTCTCGGGGTGCTGGCAGAGCTGTGGAAACAATTCCCCGAATTCGAGGTGGTGGGACCCATTGTTCTGGCCAGGGTGCTTTTGCAAGTATGTGGCATGGGGGCTGCATGTTTGCACCGACCAAAACCTGGAGCTGTTGGCACCACAGTGAACACACCATGGAAGTGATATGCCATCTGCTCTGCCCTGGCTGCCTCAGCCTTCCCAGCACTGGTCATGTCTAAAGGCCATTGTATTGAGGAAGTTCCTGAACTCGCTTTGGTGGTTGAAGCTAAAGTTGAAGGCTACAAGAAAACCAAGAATGTAGTTTTGCTTCTTAAGAAACTTAAGGCTCATTTCAACAATAAGATAAATTTTAAAAAAGAAGGGAGAGAGGGAGGGAGGGAGGGAGGGAGGAAGGAAAGAAGGAAGGAGGGAGGGAGGGAAGGAAGGAAGGAAGGAAGGAAGGAAGGAAGGAAGGAAGGAAGGAAGGAAGGAAGGAAAGAAAACTTAAGGCCTGGCCCTGGCCTGGTAGCTCAGTTGTTTAAAGCATTATCCCAGATATGCCAAGGTTGTAGGTTTGATCCCTGGCCAGGGGGAATACAGGAATTAACCAATGAATGCATAAATAAGTGGAACAACAAATAGATGTTTCTCTCTCTCAAATTAATAAATAAAAACTTAAAAAAAGAAACTTAAGCCCTGGAATGATATCAAAAAGGTCTCTGCCCCTCAGTGAATGAGAGTTGACATCGGCAAAATGAGAAACTATTGCCCTGGCCAGTTTGGCTCAGCGGTTAGAGCGTCGGCCTGTGGTCTGGAGAGACCTGGGTTCGGTTCCCGCTAAGGGCATGTACCTTGGTTGCAGTTTGTCCCCGGCCCTGGTTGGGTCGTGCGGGTGGCGACCACTCGATGTGTCCCTTTCACGTTGATGTTTCTCTCTCTCTCTTCCTCTCTTTCCCTCCCACTCTATCTGAACAAAGAATGGAAAAATGTCCTCCGGTGAGGATAAAAAAAAAAAAAAGAAAGAAAGAAACTGTCATTGTATCCAGCACAGGGGACCTGGCATCATCTATAATGAGGACAACGGTTTCAGAGCCTTCAAACATCCCTGGAATGACTCTGCTTAATGTAAGCAAACAGAACATTTTGAAACTTGCCTCTGGTGGGCACGTGGGCCGTGTCTGCATTCGGACTGAAAGTGCTCTCTGCAAGTTAGATGACCTACGTGGCGTCAAGCTGCCTCCCTGAAGATAACCACAACCTTCCCATGCACAGGATGCTCAGTACAGACCTGAGCAGAATCGTGAAAAGCCCAGAGAGCTGAAGAGCCCTCCAAGCACCATGCAAGAAGATTCATCACAGAGTCCTGAAGAAGAAGCCACTGGAAAACCTGGGAATCATGTTGAAGCTAAACCCTATGCAAAGACCACACTCCAAAACACCTTTCTTCGCCAGGCCAAGGACCAGGAGCTCCAGGTGGATTGAGCGGCAGCAGCGCTAGAAGCCAAACCAGATGAGAAGAGGGTTCCAGGCAAGAAGACTGCGGCATAAACTTAAATTTTCTTATTGCATAAAGGTCACGTGACTTCGGACAGCGAATTTTTAATAAAACCCTGATCAAAGGCAGTGAGAAACATGAAAAAAAAAAAGCTTCCCTGTATGGTGGTTGTGAAGTTAGATAATATATGCAAAAGAGCATAGCCTGAGACCCTTGATATTCATTTTCCCTTCTACCTCTTCTAAAGAAGCAAGGTTGGTCATTCATGCAGTGCTGCTTTTAGGTTTGTTCAGAAAGAGATTCTGAACTGTATTTATATTAACTTACACTTTACAAAGGCCTGATTACAAAAAGAAATGAGAACATTCCTTCACCATTAAATACTATGTTACATTTAGCCTAATATTTAAGATCTACTGCCCATTTTCCCACCAAGAAAATTAATGAAGGTATAAGTCAATGTATTATTTACTCAGTCAATAACCATTCATGATGAATGATTCAACAAGCATTTTCTCCTCATTACTAAACATATAAAGTAGTAGGCATAGAGTTTGAACGCAACAGGACAGATCCCTGCTGCCATGGAGTTTACCAACTTTCCTTCAAAGGACATATTCTAGAAGAGACCCTTGTGCCAATGCACCACAACCACTACATTTCTTTTTTTTTAGAGTGGGAGGGAGAGAGAGATAAACATCGACATGAAAGGGGCACATCGAGTGGCTGCCTCCCGCACGACCCAATGAGGGCCCGGGGACAAACTGCAACCAAGGTACAGGCCCTGAGTGGGAACTGAACCTGGGTCTCTCTGGACCGCAGGCCGACTTTCTAACCATTGAGCCAAACCAGCCAGGGCGCAACCACTACATTTTATTCAATCGGATAGGACATTAAAAATTGCTTATGTTGAATAAATAATGCCAAGTTCTGCAGCATCATTGCCAAACACCTATTTCTAATTTTTATTTATGGAGATGTTGCAGTGAAATATACCAAAGGCAAAATAGGGTAGAAATCATCATGACTATTTTCCTCTGAAGTACCAACAAATATTTTGGAAGAGGAAAGTGAAAGAGACAAATTTTGTTTTAGATTAAATAAAAAAAGATTTGAATAGATAGTATACCCCTTTTCAAAGATTCTTCACATTAATTTTACAAACAGCCAGAATTTGGCTACTCAAAGAAATTTCCAACCATTCATTGACGCTATTATATCAGTGTTCACAGGACCACATAATAAATGTTGGTACGTCTGGATGTCAAATAAACGCAGTTGAATCTTAAAGTATTTAATGCATGTACTTTATTGAAATGGTGTCTTGTACACAGAGATATGTGGTTTTAGTCTGTTCAGTTACTCCATACATACATTTAAAACAATGTTCAAAGTAGCAATTACATCATCTCACTATAAGAAGTGCTATACACCCAAATAGCACTTCGGTAAATTATCAAACAAATGTGTACCAGAGCAATTTGGCAGAAATTAAATTAATTTTGGACTTACCAAGCTGTTCTATTATGTTCTGGAAGCCAATGGTGGATAAGTCATTCTTGGAGGTGGAGGAACTCTATGATTTCATAGCCCAGAACACTCGATGTGACCATCAATGGACCATTTCAACCATCTAATTATCAATGGGAGCTGCCAGACAGTCAAGTGTTCTCATTCCAGATGCCAAATGGGTTGGGCAGGTCATCATGATTTAGCTTTTTATTTCTGCTTAAATCATCCAGATAAATGAATCTAATAAATACAATAAAATGTAACCCAACCAAAAATGTATGTCACTCTTCAGACATAGGTTTGTGAACAATTGAGGTGGTGGTGCTGAAGGAAAATACATGTTGAACTGCTTGATGTTAAACTTTAACCATCCCTTCTCCCACCCTTCCTTCAAGCATTTTCTTATGTCATATTACCATGAAATTAAGTCTTATGTACATTTCTTTTCTTTATTGAGTTTAGACAGAGAGGAAATGAGAGGGAGAGAGAAATAGAAACACGAATGAGAGAGAACATTGATTGGCCGCCTCCTGCATGACCCTCACTGGGGATCGGGCCCACAACCTGGGCATGTGTCCTGATCGGGAATCAAACCGGCAACCTCCTGGTGCATGGGTCAATGCTCAACCACTAAGCCACACCAGCCAAACTCTATGTACATTCCTTAGAAAGGAAACCAAGCGTCCTGTCTGGTATTTAAGATTAGCATAGGTCTACTCATTCTCTGCCAAGATTCTAAAAAAAAAAGAGAAAAATCAAATTCCACTTAAAAAATAATAATTTCTATTTAGATTATGTGCTAGTATTCCTCAAAGTAATTTTTTAAAAGGTTGGAACTTGAGAAAAGTTCATATCAGAGTACAGAGATTCAAAACTGATCCCTCCAGAACTCTGTTTTTTTTTTTTTTAGAAAAAAAATATGCATCAGACTTTGAAGTACTTACACACCTAGACCTGATAGAAAGCAGGATAGCATTTGCTTTTGAATATATAAGGTTCTTAACTTGTGAAAAATCACAATTTCAAGGTAATTTTGCCAAATAAAAATTGGCAAATAAAGTTTGGCAACACATTTTAGAAAGATGATTTATATACTACATATAAATGCAAGGTAACCTTAAATGCAATTGATTTAAGTTTAATTATATTAATATATATGTTGGGCCTTCTAATAAGCCTTCAGATAAAACTTAAAGAAAGAATAAAAAGTCAACCCTAGAAACTGAGAGTTGTAGATACATACTATACCAAATTCATCTTTTGGTTTTTCTTTTGTTTTTACCACAAAACTCCATGTCATTCTTAACATCCAGTATTTTTCTCACATCCTATTTTATATCCTAATTACCATGTAACAAAATAGCTTCAACATGCTGGTTCTGTCCCTGAGTTTACCACATACCTTACCCACCATAAAATATCTCCTACAGCCATTTTTAATGTTTCCTCATTTGCTAATAACCATTGGTTCTTCGCTATAAAACCGCCCTCAGTTTGTCAAGGGTCCCTAGGTACAAACCTATCAATAATTTAAAGCTAACTCTTGAAGGAGCTATACAGGATTGTTCCCTTTAAATTTTATGTTACTCCAAAATATACATATGTATATACAATCACACATGTAACATTTACACTGCCTGCAGAAATAAACTGCAGATATAATTCCACACATACATTTAGAGATTCACATTTTAACAGCAAACTTCCATGCAAATATAAGGAAGTAGTTTTATACTCCTAAATTACATAGCAAGCTGAAATATAGAATGTTTTAGGTATATCCTTTCTTGAGTCTTAGAAATAAGCAAAAAGGAGACATAAACCTCAAGTTATATCTGTAGCAGTGTCAGTTAATATGGTATTATTACTGACAAATTATCCAATTTGCTTACTCTATACAAAAAGTGAAATAAACATACTATATACAAAAGAGTTAGAGAAAACAAATGAAACTTATACAAGATACTTGCTACCATTGGTGTTTAACTTTGTATAGCTTTGACCAAAGGACTCTTAGCTTGTGCATTCTTTTCTGATATGAAGGAATAGTTGTATCTCTATACTATTCTCAGCTACAGAATAGGAATGGATTGGGGGAGAGGGAACCTGGTAACATAGTTGAAATATACAAGTGCTCTGTTTATAAATATGTACATAATTTAGCAGTGTCACATTATCTGAATTAATTTCTTTTGCATTGTTACATTTACCAATCAAGTGGTTCAGAATACAAAATATAATAATAGAGGACTCAGTTTTCACACTAACTCCTTGGAACAGTTATTAAAAATTAAAACATTTGCTGATAACACATTGAGGAGCTACTGAAATACTACTATTAAAGAACTTGAAGACAAGAACCTGTTCAAATGGATAAAAAAAAAGTGATCAAAAGAAACCCATAGCTGCCTAAGAGTTTTTAAAATTAGAAATTTAACACTCAGCAAGTATATCAAAACCACTTTCCATATGCTCACTCAACTTAGAGACTCACAATAGCTGAATTACACATATATTTATACTGAGTATAGTTGAACAGAAATATGACAGGTATTTCTGATAAACTGCTATGTAAATGGTTACTAAGTTTACACTGGCTTGTGTACTGATCTAGTGAGTCACAGGGTTACTCTGGTACAGTTGACAACTTTTTTATCTAATCACTTTCTTCATATACAGGGTGTCCCAAAAAATGTATACAGGGTGCTTACATTTTGAAAATAAAATGTATTTGAATAAACACTGGCTTTATAATTACACATTTTTGTGTATATATTTGGGGAGGGGGACACCCTATACTTAGTGAAAAACTGTTGCACAGAAACTCAAAAGTCCCAGCAAGCAATCAGGCCCATCGTCCACTGGAGGCAAAACTTCTGCTGAAGGAGAAGTTGATTTCGGAGTTCTTGTATTTTCCCCAAGCACCAAAAGGCACGACTATTATAGTACTGTTGTCTTCAGCACCATACTGTATCGCCTGCAAGGTTTGGCAGGAAGGAAGAGAAAAACTGAAAATCAGAGTCTGGAAAGTCAAAGTGATTTAACACAGTTAACTAACCCAATTATGTCACAGTGGTTTATGATTCTTTCACCATGTACCAATGCCCACTTGATTAGATTGCACACAGAATAATAGGTGACTCAAAACAACCATATTAACTATATTCCACTGCAGCAATTTTGGCAATGGAAACACTGGTGGACTAAGGTATAAGATATTCAGGTCCTGAAGAAGAAAATACCTGTTAGCACAGGGACTAATACAAGGGAAAGATTCACAAGGTGTTAGTCCTTACCTAGCAATTCTGTTTCTAGGAATTTAGCCTAAAGAAATAATAACCTAAGGGAGTGGATGTATATAAAGATACAATGACAAGAAAGTTTATTATGCTCCCTATAAAATGGAAAAGTGGCAAAAACTAAATTTCCTACAGTAGGAGAACTATAAATCAATTTCAGATATGAATTCAAACATCAAATAAGATAGTCAGCATTGTAAGAAATACTTGGGATTATATATAACAGCAAATGTATTTTAAAAGACCTCACAGCCTCAGGCTGACACTGTGAAGGAAAGAGTTGATCAAAATATCTGATGAAAAAGCTTCAAAAAATAAAAAAGTTTTACAAACAAATTGAAAGAAAAAAATTTGCACTATCAGACAAAGTACTATTATACTTAACATATAGCAAGTTCTTACAATAACCATGAAAAAGACAAGCATGCATATGAGACAATGGAAAAAGCAAGCTGTACACAGACAAGAAATACAAGCTATAAAACATGTAAGTAAATTGGAATATCTCTGGAGGGTAATTTGGTAAACATTAAAAGCTTCAGAATACTGTGTATTCTCTTACCTAGCAATTTTACTTATAAGACTTTAACCTAAGAAAACAGTACTTGAGCCCTGGCCGGTTTGGCTCAGCGGTTAGAGCGTCGGCCCGCAGTCCTGAGAGACCCGGGTTCGGTTCCCGCTAAGGGCGTGTACCTCGGTTGCAGTTTGTCCCCGGCCCTGGTCGGTTGTGCGGGTGGCAGCCACTCGATGTGTCCCTTTCACATCGATGTTTCTCTCTCTCTCTCTCTGTTCCTCTCTCTCCCTCCCACTCTACCTGAACAGAAAATGGAAAAATGCCCTCCAGTGAGGATTAAAAAGAAAAGAAAACAGTACTTGAAGAAAATAGATATGCACAAATAGATATCAGAATGTTTATTATAATGTTCCCCCTACAATAGGGGGAAGTGCACACAAACTAAATTTGTTGTTTAGGGGAACTGTTAAATGACGTGTGCTGCACAAATACAGTGGAATGCCATGCAGTCATCATAAACAGCATTGCCCTTATGAATTAGTGCACATTACATTATCTCAACTTAGAAAGTTGAAATTAGGAAGGAAGTGATCATCAATGAAACTGGGCCCATTTTCTTAATCTCATGAGCACATATAATAACCAAGTGAATAATTCATGCTTACCCATTTATTTTCAAGCAAATAATGCATTTTAAATAATGTCTTATGTTTTAGTTACAAATATTAATACTTAAAATTTGGGCCATGTTGCTCTGCCTGCGAAATAGCCTTCTCTCTGTCCCACTGCTTCACTGATAAACTCTCTTTCACTTTAAACTCTAAATAAAAAAATAAAAAACAACAACATTTGGGCCAAATTTGGCTCCAGAATTGAAAATGTAAAAAAAAATGAGGAAATGCAAAAATAGCTGTTGAATTAAACTGTGACTCTAATGATCAGTGATGGCTCTAACTTAAAAAATTAATTATCCAGAGTATTAAACAACATATGGAAATTTTACATTTTTCTCTACTGGGTATTATCCAGCTTCCAAGGTTTAGCTCTGACTGACTCAGTGACATACAACACATCCACACACCTTTTTGTATTTGTTTTTTTCACACCCATTCTCAGAAACCAGAAACTGACATGCTATATAGTGTTACTATATTTAGTAGGTGATTACTTGGAGCAGTCTCATTTTATGGGCAAGTGGTCAGACTTGGGAAACTGGCTATGGGTTTGAAGCCCAAAAGACAACAAATATTCTGCAGCTTCATTGCTTTGTGACCTTGAATATGTTACTTAACAACTCAGCCTCTGTGCCGCAGTTTTCTTCATCCACGAAAAGGGGATAATACTAGCTCCAACCCCAGAGGGCCATTGTGATGATTACATGAGTCAAATACAAAACCAACAGAAGAGTGTCTGACACATGGTAAGCGATATTAGTATTTCCTATTATAATGAACTATCTGCTGTTACTATTATCTCAAGATGTGTACAAAGCCGAAAAATAAACATAGCACATTTTCTTGGCATACTAATTTTACTTCACTACTTGGGAGAAATTTTAAAAATTGGAAATATAATAGAGTCAAGTATAAAATTCATTGTAATATTGGAGCTAAAACACAAGATTTCAAAGAAATCAAGTCTGTGGTGGCCCTTCTAAGCTAAACCAAACCTGCACCCGGGTTGCCCATCTTCCCCCCCCCCCCCCCCCGGGGAATTTTCTATCAGAAGCTCATCTGTGTCACCTGTTCAGTCACCGCATGAGCTGCTTCGCTGGGATCATGGCACTGATTGACAAAGTCACAAATCTCTTGACTGTTCACCATGAAGTTAATTCCATCTGTGGTGAGGACCAGGAAGCTGTCACTGGCATGATGTAGCTGTAATCAAAACCAAATTCATGGGATTATAAACTACACTTGGCCTGAGAATAATCTTCATAATTCAAAGATTTGATGAGTGGTCATCTGAGTTTACAACTTGTAGGCAAACTGAGTGAAAATGGATGGCTTGTATTTAGGGCAAAAGTAGCAACATTTTGCATCAACCACCAAGGACAAACCTCTAACATTTACTTAGTAACACCACAAAAGAAGTAGCCAGATGGCTGAATGCCAGAAGCTGCAAGATATAATGGTTGAAAACTGTCTCTGGAGCCAGGCTCCCTAAGTTGGAAACCTGCCTCTATTTTTTTTGGCTGGGCAAACATAGGTAAGTTGAGCTCTATATACTCTAGATTTGTTTTCTCTAGAAAATGGAGTAGTAGCTATTTGAATAGAGCCTGGCACATAGTAAACCCTATTTAAGTATTGGTGAGAGAAAATGACTGTAAGTGGGCTATCTATAAGACATGAAATCATTCTGTTAATTAACAAGTGTTTGCTGCCATGATTGGAAGCCTACACCACACTGTGCCAGTTACTGGAGTAGGACGGGGGCTGCAGAGAAGGAAGTGTCGGCTCCCAACTGGGTGTGTGTTGGGGGACGTTAATTAGCAGCATGCAAAGGATGTCATTTTTTAATAGAGGTGAAGCAATTTTTTAGCTTGGTGAAAAAGCGAAGTCAGGGCTAGCTTCCAAGTGGAGGTGAGGCTAAATGATCAATCAGATGCAGGTGAGGAAGGGCAGAGAGCCATTCTGCCAGAATTCTACAGAGGGGTGAAACAAAAACCAAACACAGCATCAGACAGTAGGCCAGGAAGGAAGGATCTTATGTTCTCTGAAAAGTTTCTCTACCCTTCCCGTAGTTATTCCCTTTTTAAAGTCATTTTGGCTTCACGTAAGGCTTCCAAGAAAGCTTGTAGCTGGCCACACGCTGCATTCATTTCTTACATATGTATCAAGTACTTACAAGTCCTTTCTTACCTTAATCCTTTTTGTTTCAGGTTCTGCTATCACACCACTGCTTTTAAGATCCAAATCTCCAAGACTCCTTGTCATTGCAAGTCTGCCATTCACATGAGGCTGTCCTAAACTATTCCAAGCTATAAAACCACCACATTTCTTGATCCTGGTCAAGAAAAAGTTAAGATCAGAAAACCAGGCACAGTTCAATTTAAGCATGACATCAGTTTAAAATGCAAGGTTTCATTTCTACAAAGTAAATATAAAAAATATCCTCATCAGTTGGAGGTGGTACCTTTCTTTTTCATCTTTTCTTTCTGGAGTATGGTCAGTGGTCAGCTTGATGGATTTTCCTTTTCTACACAAAATAGCCCGGCTATCCCCAACACTGGCTACAACCAGTTCAATACCATCTCTTAACAGGGCTACTGTTGCAGTAGTCCCAGATGTCAGAACAGTTGCTGTAAACATTATGAAAAAGAGTACAAATTATTGACAGTCAAATGATTGGATATGGAATTTTCATTACAAAAATAAAACTCAGGCATGTTAAGCTAATGCTGAAATGTACATTTTAATTTAACGAGGGCTATGCAAATGAACTATGTAAATAAGAGCATGCAGAGAAAGAAGTATTTGGTTCAGTAACAAGGCTCCATGCAAACAGAAAATGTTGCTAACCTAATTTTGTAAAGAATGCATCACTGTCCCCAAATGGCCTCTTACTGATAACAAGTAGAGTTAACACAAACTAATAATAATTATTATGACACCTTTGTGTATTCATCAGGTATCAAAATTAAAAGCATTACATTTTCATTAAATTGGCAAATAAGTCAGGGTGACTTAGGTCTACAGAACCCATTCAGGCACGCCGACTTTTCTATAATCTATGGACTCAGAGGTTTTCTCTTCCATTTCTTACCCCTATCCTGTGGAAGTATTATAGTTAATAGGCTAAGCAAAATATGCCAAGGGCATATCATTTACTCTTCAAGAGCTAATATTTTATATTCTTACCTTCTACAACTGTTTCAATTTTACAAATGTTTACCCCCCCAAAATCCTAAAATGGTGAAAGGCTCACATTATTTTCTGTTTATCTTTGTGGTCCTAGACATGAAACAAAGTTACAGCCATCCTTTTATTAGGAGAAAATTGCCGGGGGTGGGGGTGGGGGTGGGGGTGGGGGGCGGGGATGAAATTCATTCTGGTTTCCACAAGCTTGGTGTAGTTAACACTTCTAGCTCCAGAAGGACCTAATACAATCCGTCTTTGTCCAAATGCAGGACAGTGCTGGCAAGTGTTGCTCCTGTGGTTATGCCCTGAGCTGAGCATTCCAAGAATAGTAATTTTCTGTGACCAATAACAAAATTAAATGTAACTTGGCTTGAAGTCACCACTATTTCCTCCATCCTATCCAAACTACATTTTTAACTTCCTTTGAATTTTTCTAAGTGTCTGCCCTCAGTTTGTTACCACTTGTTAAAAAAATTTAAGGTGCATTGAGCCTTGCCAAAGACAGAATACTGTGAAATTATGGGCTAAGAAGTAAAGCAAATTGGAAGAAATTGAAGGAAAAAACCCCCATATTTAAAGCAGGTATTGTCTTTTGTAACATGGTTAATTCTTTAGAGCATCTAAATAAAATATTCAGGTGATAGTCCAAAGATGATTTTGACTTCAAAGGCAGATTTAGTAAAAAATGAAATGCTACTGATTTCACTGATTGAGGCTCAGACTTGCCAAATATTTTTTTAAAGGAGACAATTTAAAAAACATCACCAGTAATGCAATTTGGAAATTGCATTATATATATATATATATATATATATATATATATATATATAATGTACAATCAGTACATTAAAATGCCTGCTTTAATCAGAAAAGTAAAATTGAAAGACATGAGGAAAGCCTATTGTAAACTTTTATATCCATGCTGAGTTTACATTATTGAGAAATAGAATTTATAGTTCTACTATCTTCCCATTTGTCTCTTGATTTTGGAACTGTTGTTCAAAGCAAAAATATCTCGGTAATGCTAAAATATATTCATCACTGTATAACGTAAAAGTTTTAGTATATCAATGATGTTTATATTACAGATGTTAACTCTTCACTTTCCCAAAACACTGTACAATGGAATCTTGACAGTTTAACCACTGTCATATTTCCAAATGACTGAAAGAGCCTGACAAGAGAACAGCACAGGAATTTTATTTCCTCAGATGCTACCTGTCCAGGGAGATTAGTATCCTCTCCTTTGTTTAAATTGTCAGCAGCACCTTTTGAAAAGTGATTTTTAATTGGCTACATCAAAAGAGTTAAGATTTCATAAATGACCATTTCAAGTTTAGCTGGTCAGGATTATAATTCATTGCTCTGCCACCCAGGAATTTCAAAGAGCTTACATCTTTACCAACCCAACTTCACAGTTCCAAAATCCCAGGGTTTAAGGAAAAGTTTCCAAAAGTTAACTACTGATTCTGGTTTGCTAAACATCTAAGAATGTAAATATTAAATCAACATTTCTTTTCATTTAACATTTAATACAGAAATAAAAAGTCTCACTTTTTGCCCTAACAACAAAACTATAAAACTAAGACATCTTTCAATAAGTTCTTAACACTCACGACATTTTCTACTGCAAGTCATCTCAACTAATGGGACAAAGAGGCTGTGGGAACCTTCCCGTAGTCCAGGCTAGAACCGCTGGACTCCTTCACCTGGGACAAAATTAAGCTGATCTCTCTTTCCACTGAAGCCCAGCATATAGTGTCCACGGGCTCCAGGTCTAGAGCTGCTGAGCAGGCACAGTTCTCTGCCACAAATAACACGCACAGAGGCAAATAGGAAATTCACCCAGGAATTGTGCTCAAACATTACAAACCTGCAACACAGGGGAGGGCAGAGAAAGAGCTGCAAAATAAGGGGAACGGTTTTTACTTTGGTGAAAATTTCACTTGCAAATTACATGATATTCCAGGAGATGTCAAATCAAAGACTCCAAAATTCAGTTTGCACACGTTGATGGTATCTTGTAGTCTGTTTTCTCATCACAGAGTAACACTCTTAGTTTTGTGGCTTCCCAGGGTAGGAAAAACCATATATAAATGCATGTGTACCAAAACACAGTGGTGACGCAGACACACATCTGCATACTTATATACACTTTCACACAACACACAGTCTTGGAGAGTAATTCAGTACCTTTATTGAGTTGAAAAAAATTCACTGTATATTTGTTTGGCAACGATATCAAAATCATCCCAAACACAGAAAGGAAAATTCAGGGTATAGCACAGAATACAGTATTTGTTGTATCTGACATGTAGTACATAGTTAGAGAGGATGTGAACTACAATATACCATCAAGTTACTGAGATGGAAATATATGCCGAGGAGGAATCAAAGCACCTCCTGTACCAGTTACAAAGAGAAACACACTTGTTAATGGAGCTCAATGCAGGGATTTAGTATCTAGATGCATTTTTTTTTTCCATAGAGTGATTATTTACAGAAAGGCTAGTAGAGCTCGTGAGCTTTTATATAATTCACAAAGTGGGTGTTTCTGCAGCTCTCTCTTCCCCAGTGTTGCAGGTCAACATATCAAAACAAAAACGATCAGATTTTGAATGGCAACAAAAAGTAAAAGCTGTACTTTTCAAGGCATAACCTGCACCTCCCCATGGTAATTATTTAACTGTGTACACCCCACTATATGTAAACCAATGCAATTTCAATATTTATTAAAAATGGGTGTTCGGACATGTGTGACTCATGAACACCAAAATCAAAGTAATGAGCTGAGAGCAGTAACAGCACAGTAAGGATGTCTCTTCAATGCCATTCCTATTTTTCCCTTTTGGCTGCCCGCAGCAGAAGAAGGGTACTCAAAAACACTGCGTTTCTAACACTGGTTGTGTTGTAGTTTAATCCTTCCATAAAGAGATCACATAACATGAAGAGCACTAAAGTTTCTGTTGAGACTCACATGCTGTCACCATCTCCAACTCTGAACGTCAGAGCAAGTCTTCTGGTTTTTATCCATTTGTCTTTTGAGAAGTTTTGTTACTTTCAAACTTTAAGCAAGCTAGAAATACTCTGAAGAGCTCGTAGGATATAGAGGACTACAGTCTCAGTTTTCTACCATCTAGTAAGTGACAATTTGTTAATAAGCAATAGACTAATAGGATCATTTGAACTTATTGGCTGGTTAATTGTAAAAATACATGATTGATATAAATTGAATATAAAATTTTTTCAAAGCTGTTGAAATTAGCTACTAGTAAATAAGGGTAAATTCAAAATTCATCAACAAATCAATAAAAATATTGAGCAATTTCTTAGGGGCAAGATTCTTGCCATTTCTTCTTAAGTGACATTATGATTTTAGTTTCAAACTACCCCCAGTTTAAACTGAAATCGTAAATATTTTAAATGCCCGTGGGATCATCTGAAGTATGCTATGCAATGTGACAGTTTTGTCTAAAGTTTTTCTTTTATTTTTTCAATCCTCACCTGAGGATATGTTTATTGATTTTGAGAGAGAGAGAGAACACTGACTGGTTGCTTCCCATACATGTAACCTAGGTATGTGCCCCGACCATAAACCGAGCCACACTGGCCAGGGCTTTACTAAAGTCTTGATGAGAATGTTTTCTTTTCGTTTTCTCTTAAGAAAGCTAATATAGTATGATTGAGGGGCAATCCTCCCATTTATACCTGAAATTCTACTATTAGTGATTAATTTCTATGGTTTAACCAATCTTTTTTCAGGTTTCCCCTACTTAAAATTCAAATTCACTCAGGAGTGATAACTCATTGAAACATATACAGTAGAGTATACTAATAATTTTGTTAAATAGTCAAGGAATAAATTATAACAACTTTGGTGAGAATGATCAGTTGGGTCCACTTGAGTACCTTCCAGATGCTATGCAGGGTGCTGAACAATGGAGATTCAAACTCAGTAAGCAGGGTCCCCGCCTGCAAGCTACTCACAGGAAGTGCTCTAGGAGAAAATGGGGCTGATGCTAAAAGAAAAGGTAAAAGAAACTGGAGAGGGCAAACTGCAATTACGTCACAATTTTCTTAACTAACACTGGTCCTACTCATATCTATGCCAAAAAGAATACTGTCCACTCTTATATACTAACACTGTTTTAGTTCTTAGATAAAACAGGCCCAAAATGTCTAAAGGCAATTGTTGCCATTTTTAAAGCCTTAGCAACTTAAGAATTTTAAGGTTGTTCCCAAAATACTTATTTAAAAAATATGCAGATTAATTGACCTATAACATTACAAAATAATATTTAAGAACAATAATGTCATAACAGACCTTATTTCTTTTAATACCATTTTTCTGTCTTGCTCCATTATACTTGCAAACAAATGGCCATTAAATAAAAAACAAATTTTAGAATCTTATAAAAGTGTTTTTAAAATTAATTTTAGAGAGAGGAAGAGAGAGAGAAACAGTGATTTGCTGTTCTACTTATTAATGCATTCATTGGTTGATTCTTGTATGTGCCTTGCCCAGGGATAGAACCTGCTACCTTGGTGTATTGGGAGAGCTACCTAACCAGGTTGAAAGTTCTGATCATTAACTCAAAGCATGTGACAGAGAAACTAAATTAAATAATACATTTTAATGTCATTATTAAAAATATATTACATTTTTTATGATTAATTTCTTTGAACAACCTCTATTTATGTGAGAAAGGCATCTGTAGTAAGTTCCTTTTAAGGTCAGCAAGTTAAGTCAATTGTCTCCTTAAGTTCAAATTTTCCTTTAGTTATAATTTATTATTTAATAAATGATAGGGTCCTTTACTTAACACTGAATCTGTCATTGTTTTAAGCATCTTCGTTGATTAGATCCTTTACAAAAGGGCTAATTGCACCCATGAAGGGTTTATGTTTTGGTTTGCTGGGCACATTCCCACGTTGAACTTTCACATTCTCTTCTGAAAACCTTGCCTGTTTATAGAAAAGCTCGGGCACACCACCTGCACTACCACTCATAGGCATTGTGGTAGGAGATACAGCCAGTCTGGTTGTGGAGGAAATAAGCATACCAATATAGGTACCAGTTTTCAGAGTTATAAAAATGAAATGATTATAAGGTGTTTTAATGTCCTCTTCTCCTTCATGTATTTTACCCATTAAGAACAAGAGATAACTCTTATGCCTAAAATTTACCCTCTCTCAACCTCTATTTTTCATAAGGCGAGAGGCCATCTGGAAGAAAGAAAAGTCCAAATAGAGAAAATGAGCTTGAATGATGTACAAATGAGAAAACAAATCCCTGAACAAAGAGATGGACTCTATGCTTTTCTGAGGCATATGATAATGAAAAGTTTCTCCAAAAAAAAGTGGGAAGCCCTGGCCGTGTAGGTCAGTTGGTTAGAGCATGATCCAGATATACCAAGGGTGTGGGTTAGATCTCCAGTCAAGGCACATACAAGAAGTAGCCAATGAATGCATAAATAAATGGAACAACAAATCAATGTTTTTCTCTCTCTCCCTTTCTCTCTCTCTCAACTCAATAAAAAACAAAAAAGCAGGAAATCCCCTAAATGAGTCATCCTAGAGACATCTTCTCTAATTTTCAGCATTAAATATACCCTGAGAGAGGCCAGGAAAGCCCCAGGAACTGCCCTTGACTTCTCTTTAAGTTTTAGTTCCTTCTCTGGGAATTGGAGAGAATTGCCATCCCCAGGCACTCCAGCAGAAAATTGTGAAAATGACATTTCGGTGGTGCACACTTGGAACTCTTTTAAACAAAAGAATGACCCATAGATTAATATTATTACATGATTCATTTTCATTCTATATGCATACATTTCTATGGTTGTTGCAAAAGTTTTTGAGATTAACTTTATAAGCAAAAGCTATGAGGGTCGACTAACTATGTTTCCTGAAATGGTTTTGATAAATTTAGTCAAAGTCAGAAACATTTACTTTCAATATTTAAGAACAAACAGTACACTACATTTTAATTCACCTTGTGTTTAACAAATAAAAACAAAAATACCACTAGATACACCAGGAAAGCTGCAAGATCAATTTTTTTTTAAAGAAGTAGGATAAAAAAATATCTTCATTCTAATTATACAAGTAGTGTATGTTAGTCATTGTCCTTTCCTATCTAGGACCAATGAGCAATTTTCTCCTTGCCTGACCAATTACTGTCCTGGCTAGATGAGATTACCCTGTAGTGTATTTCTGTTACTTGCTCATCAGACTCATCTAAAGAAACAAAAATAACAAACCATCTTATAGTATGGATATCTTGTCCATAAAATGTGCCTTCAAACAGATTTAAAAAATGTTTTTAATCTTTTTAAAATTGAAATTAAATATCAGAACCATTTTGGAGCTTTAATTTCTGAAAAATTTTCCAATATACATGTTTCATTTAAAAGTGAGGTACTAACATTAGTTTTGATTCCAAATAGCATTTAAAGTGGTTCTTTATAGAAAATAATTTTTCACATAAACATTCTTACAAATAAACTTACATTACAATTCCCACCCCTTAAATTGTTTCCATTTTATTTAGACATTCCCCAGGACCCCAGGAAAATGTGACTGTTTTACTTACCATCAGCAGACAGGTGGGCGTGACTCGCAAAGGCTCTATCTATTTCTAGAAAAGCCAAGGTCAACACAGTTTCCAAGTTCTTCTCCTTAGGAAGAAAATCCCTTTATAGGGAGGGAAAAAAGAGCCCCCCAAAATTATTTTACAATAGATGTCTTCTCTTCTCCTCCCCTCTCCTTCAGGTCATTCTAGCTAGCAGTCACTCCATACAGTGGTCTCCATGGCTGGCCTTGCAAGTGCTCATTAAATGTCTAATAAGTGGGAGGCATAGTGATTAAGTCTTTAAGGACAGTAAACAAAAGTCCAAGTTCCCATACTAAAAGATTAATCCTTACTGCAACCCTGAGAGGTCAAGTTCCTTCAAGGCAAACTCTGCTTAAATCAACTAATGAACAGTATGAACAACTGTACACAGGAAGACAGGAAATAGTCATGGCCATAACCCTGTCACATGTTCTCTCCCCACCCCTCCTTTAATGCTAGCAGTGGTGTGATCCTGAAAACTGCATTACAATAATTGTGTTCAATAAACTATGTAAAGAGCTCCAAAACATCGCATTAAATGCATTTCCCCATACTAATGCCAATTATCTAAAGCTATTTTCAACAGGTGCTCAAGGCTATTCATGCCACTTGAGAGTATAATTACCATTTATTGAAGCACTAGGTGCCATGCACTGAAAGGAGTAAATGCTTCTCATAGAGTCTCATAATACATGAGGTCATGGACTTTATGTTAATTCACTCGAAATAATCACAAATCAAGTACCATAGATTCTGGTTGTTAAAAGAAAACAGTAAGTCCCAAATGGGGTCAGTTGTGCTAAGCCCATGTCACCAAACCAAGGCTTAATACTTAATTGTAGTCTAACCTTTCCCAGGAATATTAATCTTAACCAGTAAATCTGGAATATTCTGGTTAGCACAAATGAGGTAACCTGCCATATAGGCCCTTTCCACCCCTCAGAGGAAGAAGTAAACTCCTCTTTCCTTATCCTTTTCCCTCTCTGCCTACAAAAGTCCTCCATTTTGATGAGCTCCTCAGAGCTCCTTTCCATTTGCTAGATGGGAAGCTAGATTCAGGAATTGTTCAATAAAGCCAATTAAATATTTAAAATTTACTCAGTTGAATTTTTGTTATTTAACATGGTCAATGCTCTCACCAGGGGAGTTGTTAAAACATATATTTTTGAAATGGTAATAATCATCAGTAATGAATGGCATGCTTAAGCTACTCCTTGTTCATAAAACAATTATAAAACCACTCAAATAACTACATTAAGACTGAACATCTTAGCCTAAAGGTAAAAGTTTTAACATGAAGCATAAGGCAAACTGCACAGTCAAGAGTGGAAAATCACTGTACGTACATGATACATTTCTCCATATGGGTATGACAGAAATTAGCAGCTGCAGGTCCGCCATGTCCATCAAATACTGCAAAATACAGGACCTCATCAGTCAGCTGAGCAAAGTCAAATCTGTCTTCATTCTCTTTCCGTTTGCCAATCTGTGAGGAGCAGCCCACATTTTCCAAGCTGATTTTGGGTATTGGCTTGCCATACTTGATGCTGGGTGGCAGCAGAATTGGCTCATCAATGCGGTTATCCCAGATCCCAAAATTATCCCAGGTGGCTGGACGCCCACTACCATCTGGGTCAAACCGAGAACACCTGGGCTCTGAAGTGGAGCTGTGGCATGTGGGTGTCACCCTCCGGTCATCTTGCAGCAGGCGGGAGCTTAGCAGGACTCTCCTTCTCACCTGGTTCCCACCACTTCTAACCAAAGTAATTAAGGCAGCTGTTGACATAACTCAACTCCAAAGGATTCAATAGTCAGGGACAGGTTGAACAATAGTGGAATGTCTTCAAGAAAAATGATGCAACTACATAAAGAGAGAGAGTCCGTCAGCAATTTTTAATATAACTGATATATTATTAGAGATTAACAAAAATGAAGGCATTAAAGTATGTGGCACCTAACAGCCAACTTCTAAAGGATAGCAGATGGCCCTGGCTGGTTTGGCTCAGCGATTAGAGTGTCGGCCTGCGGTCCAGAGAGACCCGGGTTCGGTTCCTGCTAAGGGCACTACCTCGGTTGCAGTTTGTCTCCGGCCCCTGTTGGTGGTGCAGGTGGCAGCTACTCAATGTGTCCCTTTCACGTCGATGTTTCTCTCTCTCTCCATTGCTTTCTCTTTCTCCCACTCTATCTGAGCAAAAAATGGAAAAATGTCCTCGGGTGAGGATAAAAAATAAATAAATAAAAAATAAAGGATAGCAGATGAAAAATGATCCACCATTTACCCCATTAAGAGTTTAAATTCTATAAAAATTTGACAATGTGTACATATATAGAATCAAGCTTTAACCTACAATCACCTTGGGATCTTGTTAAAATGCAGATTCTGACTCTGTCTGTCTGGGTGGGGCCTGAGATTCTGCATCTCTAATCAACTCCCTGGTGATGCCTGCCTAACACAGCAGGCTGGCACTTTAAGTAGCAGGAATACAGAATACAGGTATAAATAAATATTCTTCCCTTTATTAACTCCATTGCTCTGAACAAAGGGGACAAATCTTACTAACAAAGTTTCTGACAGGAGATAGAACTCAAAGAAGAAAAGAAAAAACAAAACTAGTTAATAGAATGTTTACCATAGTTCTATAGCCAAAGAATGTCTGTCTTAGCAAAGACACACCTAGGATCTAAGCTTTGTTTGGTTTCAGATTTCTCCATGTACTAAACTTTACATATGTACGCTGGTTCATGCAAACACTTCTAGAGGCACAAAGATAAGCTAGTTCTGTTGTTTCCCTTTGTAGTAGACACTCATGGGGAAGGTATGTGATCTCAGGAATTGAGGGGCACGCATTTGTGACAAGCAACCCTGATTTATGAGCAACTGATCTCCGCGTTTACATGAACAGCTGCAACTTTCTTCTCACACAGCCCCGGGAAACCACCCACACTCTTGCCTGCAACGACAACAGGAGATAGCACCAGAGAATGAACATTTCTTTGAAATGATTATTCTGTACCCCCACTTCTGGACTCTGTCCCAAAGCTAATCCTAAAACCTCGGGTTATGGTCAGGGGGAATTCCTACAGAAGGGCTGTTTCTGGCAGTTTTCCATACAAATGAAGTTCTAAGCAGAAATTTATCTCCATAGTACTTTGTTCTGTTATTTTATGAATTAAAACACAACTTGAAAACATAGCATGAAGTTAAGATTTGATAATACCAGTGGAGGGTATACAGATGTTATAGTATTCTCAATTGTGTGTTTGAATTATTTCACAATGAAAAATGAGCTTGAAAAAATAGACCTCCCCAAAAGGCACAAACATACATAACAACAACAACAAAAGCCCAGCTTGAGTGAATCATTAAGAAAATGTGTTACAGATTTCAAACAATCATTTTCAAATACATTTTTGGAAATTGCTATAGCTATATATAGGAAGGGCCACTACTCCTTTCAGTGAGTAAAGCGATAAAAGGAAAAGATGAGGTTCCAAAGAACATCCCTAAATATTTAATCAATGAAAGACATGAGCCCTGCCTTCATGGTATTTAGAATAAAGATGCACTCCCCCCCATCGCCCCACCAACACAATGAATGTTGTCATAAAAGACTTAGGAGGTTATTCCTTCTTGGCTTTTAAGCTAATATCATGTATAAAAGACTGAAACTCACTTCTTTATGACAATGTTGGAGATGGTGGAGACAGCATCTCTGGTTATCAAGTATCTAAGGGAAGTAACACATTCCATTGTAAGAGAAGAGGTGTTTATCCTTTGCTTCTGATTGAAGGTTTATTTTATTCAGCAACAGTAACTGTTAAATCAAGGTGATGACATGTGCAGAAATGTCAAACTATAATGTAATCTAGAAAGTAAGAAAACTAAGTACTAATTATTGATGGAGAGAATTCACAAAGCAGCTTTACACCATATAGAAAAAAGTAAAAACTTCAAGTGCGTTGATTAGAAAACTCATTCATCTTTGAAGAGTGTACCAAAAATTAGGAAAGTAATCTTTTGGTTTCAGTTTGAAAGCATGTATGCTGTATTCAGCCTTAGGCCATTTTGTAGTCATGCACCTGCTTTGAACAAGAATTCTAAAATTACAAACAATAAATATTGAATTAAGTTCTTCTGTAGTTTTTATGGGATACTCTTGTCCCTTTTTCCCCTCCCCTTTCTCTATTCTTCAAATATAAAAAATGAAACAGAGCTGCATTCTCAGCAGGGCCCCAATATCCACTGAAAATGTTATTAAAGAATGAAGCAAAATGCAAGTTGGCCATTTCTTTATGCCCACATGTACTAAAATCAATCGTCAACCTGGCCTTCTTCCTCATTTATTATCTGCACAAGCAACTCAGAAAGTAAGAACAGTCATAGAGAAACATTTCCTTTAAGGTCTGCTGTTGGCAGAGATGAAATGTGAGGCAGCTACATAGCTAGTTTACATAACTAGGTCAACATCAATTATGCAAGCAGGAAACTGCCTTAGAAAGTGGTTCTATCCTCTTTTGTGTAAGCAATAAGTCATACTAATCTCTCCATATTCTCAAGGAAACAATTCAAAGGACCTGTGTTCCCAAGCTAAATAACAACTTTGAACTAAACTTGCACATCAAGAAAAGTTTCCTCCATTGCTCCAAACTAGGAATCAGCCAATAGCTCTCCAGCTGCCCTTGGAAATGTCTATGCACCAAACTAGCAGGCAAGAGAGTAGAACTTATGATGTGAAAGACACACAAGAGCCTTAAAAAAAAAAAAAAAAGCAGTGTTCTTTTAATGAAAAGAGTGGAAAGCAAACTGACAAAACACTTAAGAAATATTTTTATTATTTGTCAGTTCAGCAATTATACGTTGGCATTCATTTGTTATTTTGCTAGCTAAAACACTTACTCAGAAATCCTTTATGTCAATCTCTCAATTGAAAATCAAGGCTAGCTTATTTTTATAAACCATTTTAACATTTATATTCAGTCTTTGAAAGTCAAAATCATCCGAAAGGGTCAAAGGGCAAAAGTAATTCTGCTTGAAAGCCAGTTGAAAACACAAAAATGTTACAGCAAAAGTTAAATGGACTAAGAGCTCAAGAAAACATTATATTACACATCATATTCTACTAGAAAAATTATAATTTAAAAACTAGGCTAAGCGCCCAGCTGGTATGGCTCAGTGGTTGAGTGTCAGTCCATGTACCAGGGGGTCGCCAGTTCAGTTTCCAGTCAGGGCACATGCCCAGGTTGTGGGCCAAATCCCCATGGGGGTGGGGGGGCATGCAGGAGGCAGCCAATCGATGTTTCTATCTCTCTCTCTCTGAAGAAAAAACAAAACAAAAACTATGCTAAGCAAGAAAACAAAGATAAATAACTTGATTGGAATCCCAGTTACATAACACATGTTATTTATACAAGCAACTTAAATTGTATTGATCATCATATACCAAAAGGGGGAAAAATGGGGAATCTTCCATAGACAAAACTGTTTTCCAAATTCCTTTTTATTTCCCAATCAAAACAAAAATGTATGGCTCACAAATTTACTTTAATCACATGCATTTTAAAAAATTTACATACACACACAAGAACATTATACTACATATTGTCAATAAAGAAACTGAAAATACTTTTCTTTTTCATCATTTTCATATTGATTTGTGTGACCAGGCCTGCTCTATCTTCCTCCTCCTCAATGCTTTAACTAGTTAATCTGATATTTTGAAGTCCTGACACAGAACTCTTGACTAATGAAAAGAGTTGGACTCTGGTTTAATAATTCTGACTTGGGAAGTCAGAATTCTCAGGAGAGGGTTAAGTGAAGTACTGGAAGTAATGAGAGGCATAGAAATTATACATAAAATCACTGGTGAAAACCCACATCCTGTGAGTAGGAAGTCTCAGGTGAAAAGCATCAGAAAGGAAAAAATACATTTGGTTTGTAGTAAACTTCTGAAGTACGAACTTGATTTAAAAACAAAGGGGTGTGTGCAGAAAAGCCACATAGACAGCTACAAGATAGCTATGCCAATTTTATGCTTCATTTTACTCCTATTTTAAAATCCCTCAAGGGTGTAAACACCTCAGAGCTGTCCAAATTTATTTCTGGAGAAGAAAGGTACTCACTGTCTCTGGCAGGAGAGTGCACTTGGGCTTTGTGGTAAACTGCTCTTGACTGCTGAAAGCAGGTCAACAGGGCAGGTTATGTTGTCATTTTAAATCCATGCCAAAATCATTCAGGAGTTCTAAGAATTAGTACTACTGAAATCTGCTTAGATTTTTCCCTTCAGCAAAAATATTTCTAAATATCCTTATCTGCCCATTATAAAGTATGGTACTCGGGTATATTTACATCAGTAACTTCCATAATGGAAACACAAGGTAATTTTAATATTCTCATGTCAAATATATTTTCATCGACTTTTTAAAAAAACAAACATGCATCCCAATAAATTCAAAGGGTGGGGACCCCTCCAGAATGTATTTCAGAAAATTTAGACTCTAATATCTTCTTTATCAGTACCCTGACTAGGAGGAAGGGAGAAAGAAAAACTATTAGTCTACACATGGGGAAAAAAAGCAAAAAAGCAAAACAACAAACACCCCAAATGACTCCCCTTAGGTTTGATGGAAACCTGTGTTTAGATGTGTGAACAGAAAAAGAACACAGGAGCAATGAAAAGTACTCATTATTCTAATTCCACAGTGCCCTTGACCAGAATCGAACCTAGGACCCTTTGATCCACTGGCAGACGCTCTAAACACAGCTACACTGGCCAAGTCCCTAAGATATTTTATTAGAGAGGTGTATCTTTTCCTAGAATACAACGACACCATTGCTACTTTTCAGGACAATTATATATAAAGTGACTACTGTCACTTTAGTAGTCGCTTATTCTGAAACCACAAAACAACCTCATTTTTTCCACAGCACTGACTGAGGGTAAAAGGACTAAAAGGCCGTGTTGGATGTTTCCAGTCTAAAGTTCAGAAAGGCTAATGGAGCTTCAGAAACTCCAGATTCCCTGGCTATTTCCATCCGTAGTCTCGTTTTTTGTCACCTCCTGTGAAATCTCTAATCTCTAAAAAAGACATCAGCAGCCACAAGGCCTTGAGACTACATTGCTTTCCTGGCAAAGCAAAATCCACGTCTTCACAACAGACACCAACGAAGGCTCTATTCCGAGCCCCTGAAAAGCTCGCCCTTGCAGAGTTCAGGATCATGGGCTCGGCTAGCTGGCCGTGACAGATGAGTGTCCAATGTGATACCCGGCAGAAAGCACACCCTCGTGTCCGTGCAGCACTGCATGGCTGGGTCCCTAGCATCTTCCACCGCCTCATAACTACCGTCTTCACCTGGGTGTCGCCCAAGCCTCCCTCTCCCCGGCTGCAGCTGCGGCGACGACGCGGCGCTGACCCCTGCAGCACCCTCGGGTCCCGGGGTTTGGGTATCACGACGCGGGGCCTCGTTAATGAGAAACGCGTGTGGGTAGCCATAGCCTCCCTTCTACCGTTCCTTCTGTGGTCCCTCCCTCCCTCCGACTCGGCCCACTGCACTTGCTCGGCTGGCACCTCCAGCCAACGGTCAAAATCGAGGCAGAGCCCGGGATCTGGACAGGAAACGGCCGCAGCCCGCGGTGCAGGCGGGTGGGCCCTGCAGCTCCTACCCTCCAGCTCTACCCTCGAAACGAAAGAAAGCGGCGCAGAAAACACAGACACTGACGGTGGTGAGGGGCTGAGGAACCTACACACGTATATCCCCTACCTCCCTGGGGAAACCTGCCCCCTTAACTCATCATTCCTCGGTCCGTGAGCGGTGGGATGGGACCCAACCTATGAATAATATTATTAACAGTTAACAAATAAATGAAGTGCATTCTCTGGGCTCTTACCTCGTGATAGTTACGTGCCCGGAAATTTTTTAATTAGCTAACGGAGGTCGGGGGAGGAGCTTTCTTGGTTGGTAAATAAAATTGCCTTCTCCGATGTTTCTGATCTCTGGAACGAGCAATTAGAACTGTCACTGGCAAGTCTGCTGGAAATTCTCGAGAATTTGTCGCCCGCAGTGGGCCAGATGGAGAAGGGCGATGTCTTCCAGGCGACTGACGCAGCCCTGGCCAATCCGCGCTTGGAGAGGCGGTGCTCCTGATGCCCAAACGCCAATCACAGATTCCGACGGGAACGAGCCTCCCCACTACTGCAATTTGACTTAGTTGCCCTCTAAGCAGTGTACTGTGGAGCGACGTTGACCAGGGCCAGTAGAGGCTCGCGGTTACATCCCACGCTGCAAGGCCTTGGAGCGCGGGCCAATGAGGAGGCGCCTCGGTGGTGGGTGAGGTCGGGAGACAGTACCAAGCCAGGGTCCTTGATGAGGAGCAGTGGGAGTGTCCCTTGGGGTAAAGGAGTAGTTGTGACAACTAGGAAACCGAAAAAGGAATGCTAATACTTTGCCTGGGCAAGGGCACATGAAAGGCATCTGGTTCGTTGTTATTCTTTGAAAAATTCACAGTACAGCGTTCTTGGTAACTGAAAAGGCATCTTGTGATGTCGACATTCCCATTCATTCGACAATTATGTGTTTATTTTTTTTTTTTTTTTTTTTTTTATCCTCACCCGAGGACATTTTTCCATTTTTTGTTCAGGTAGAGTGGGAGGGAGAGAGAGGAAGGAGAGAGAGAGGGAAACATCGACGTGAAGGGACACATCGAGTGGCTGCCACCCGCACGACCAACCAGGGCCGGGGACAAACTGCAACCGAGGTACGTGCCCTTAGCGGGAACCGAACCCGGGTCTCTCCGGACCGCAGGCCGACGCTCTAACCGCTGAGCCAAACCGGCCAGGGCGACAATTATGTGTTTATCTAGGATCTTTTGCATATGCTAGGCACTGTGCTAAGCACTGGAGATACAACAATGACTCAAATAGACATGATAGCTGTCTTCATAGACAAGGAAACAAGCAGATAAGATAACAAATGTCAGGAAGGAAATGGACAAGCTGTGGATATAGAGAATAACAGGAGGTTAACAGATAGGGAGGATTGTTATAAGAGAACTTTCTAAGGGAACATTTATTGGAGACTGGAAGAGTAAGAAAAAAATCAGTCAGTCCTAAAACCTGGGAAGTGTTGATTGTTCTGGACAGAGGGGACAGCACAGCAAAGGTCCTGAGGTGGAACAGCTTGACATTTTGGAAGAACAGAAAGAAGGCCAGTGTGGCTCTGGTATAGAGTTAGGCGGAGAGCAATGTAACATGAGATGGATGAGGTAGACAGAAGCCAGACCATGTAGCCAAGTCTTGGAGTTTGCATTAATTTTAAATTTAATGAGACTCTATTGAGTCATTTTAAGGAAAGGAATAAAAGAGTCTGGTTAAGACTTTAAATCCCTTTGGTTAATGTGTTGAGAACAGGTAGAATAGGCTATTGGGAGATTGGATAGGAGAGTGTATCAGATGAGACACAAGGTAGAAAATGACCTCTCTTAAACTATGGTGATATCACTAGAGATAGAGAAAAGTGGACAGACACAGATTTTAAAGATAAAGTATTAGCTTTTTTTGACATATTAGGTATCTTGATTCTGAGACAACTGTTTTGAATCCAGTTCATTGAATACTCATTTGGAGAGTGATTCTCGCATGTTCTAGTAATGATATTTGAGTATTACATTGTGTTAAAATTCATATTCCATGGGCTTTCTGGAATTTTCTTTCTGTTTTTAACTTTTTATTGAAGTATTTTATATATGTGTGTATACATATACAGAAAAGTATGCATATCCCAAGTGTATACAGAATTTTCACAATCTGAGTACACCCCATCACCCAGATAAAAAAAAACAGAACATTAATATCCAGGGACCCCATCAGACTGCCTTTTAGTCATTGCCTATCCTGACTTTCAGCAATATACTTTTGCCTGTCTTTGTACTTGATATATACATATGGAATAATGAAATATGCATTCTTTTGTTCTATATTTAACCTTGCTTCAGGGATTCAAAGAGCAGAAGTATATAATTCAAAAGAAGTAAACTGCTGGCTTTATTTGTAATCCATTCTGGTAGGATGTGGAATGGTATGGTTTTCAAATGTAATTCCAAAAACTGTATTAGCATCAAATATATGCATATTCATATTACAGCCTGACCTTGCTTATCATATGACTGTGGATTACAGTCTATTATAGTAAAAGGATGTAGCAAAGTCATGATGTTCTCAAATTCTGAGCATGCAGATTGCAAGTACTTAAAAAGCTCAAGCCCTGGCTGGGTTTCTCAGTGGTTAGAGCACCAACCCATGGACCAAAGAGTCTTGGGTTCGATTCTGGTCAAAGGTATATACCTTGGTTGCAGTTCGGTCCCCAGCCCTGGTTGGGGTTGTGCAGGATGTGTGTCTCTCTCACACTGATGTTTCTCTCTCTCTCTCCCTCCCATGCTGTCTGAAAATAAATGGAAAAATGTCCTCAGGTGAGAATTAAAAAGAGAAAGGTAAAAATGCCAAGCATAATTCAAAATGTTTTAGACTAAGAAGCTTAAAATTCCCACGTTAACAGTTCCTTGTTGCCAAAAATTTTCTTATTTATGAGAGCAACGTCTTTCATTATCCGCACCAAACTGGTCCAAATGTTTAAGATATTGCAAGACATGGTGCTACATTATTGATGAACAGACTTTTGAAAACTTAATTGTGTTTAAAACCCAGCCATCAAAATGCTCCATCAAAAGAAAAGGCCATGAACAAAAGACATGTACTAGAATGTTCATTGTAGCATTGTCTCTTGTAGCTCCAAACTGGAAACTACCCTAACAACCAACATAAGAATGAATTTATAAAGTGTGGTATAGCCCTGGACAATTTTGCTCAGTGGTTAGAGCATTGGCCCATGGACCAAAGAGTCTTGGGTTCAATTCCCTGTCAAACCCTGGAATGCAGGTTTGATCCCCAGCCCTGGTCGTGGCAAGTGAGAGAGGCAACCAGTTGCTCTTTCTCTCTCTCTTTCTTTCTCAATTCCTTCCTCCCGTCCACTCTATTTAAACATCAATGGAGTCCTCACTAGTTTGGCTCAGCAGTTAGAGCGTCGGCCCTCAGACCAATGAGTCTCATATTTGATTCCAGTCAAGGGCACATACCTTGGTTGCAGTTCGTCCCCAGCCGTGGTCAGGATCATGCAGGAGGCAACCAGTCAGTGTGTCCCTCTCACATCGATGTTTCTCTCTCTCCGTCCCTCTCTTCCCCTTCCTCCCTCTCTATCTGATGATTAATAGAAAAGTGCCCTCAGGTGAGGAATAAAAAAAAAAAAAATCAATGGAAAAATGTCCACTGTGCGGATTAACAAAAATAAATCGTGGTATATTTACAGAATGGAATGGAATGAATGAATGTCACTCATTCTCCCATGCAAATCTCAGAAAATTCTTTTTCTTGGTATATCATAAGAAGTCCACCCACAGCAGCACCCAGTAAAGAAGAGGATCCCTCCACTTCATCCGATATCATTCCCATGTATAATTCACCACCACAAATATGGAATAAATGGCTTCATCTAATACCAGTGGTACAGAGATTTGAATTATCTTTCCATTTCCATCTCCGACTTTTTCTATTTGATCTTATTAATATCATTATGCATCATTCTTATATAGGGCTCCTCTTCTGAGGAAAATTACATTTTATATATGCATACTGCAGAAAAAGTTTTAAACAAAATTGCATTTTGTTACTTAAATAACAAAGGCTTAAAATCAAGTCTGTGAAATATGATAGACATTAGTAGCATTTGCCAAATATTTTCTGCTGTCCACCACCAGGGCAGTTTCTGGCCCCCTTGTGGGTGGCACTGTGGGAAGGCTGGGCACCTGTGAGGAGTTGGGGTCAGTGAATTGTGAGTAGAGCGGACAGGGTTTCTGAGTTGCAGCATTCAATGCTCCCCTGCAAGACCTTCCAAAGGTCACTGCTGTCTGCCATTGCAACCAACAACGTTTCAGAGCATGACTGCTCCTTCAGTATGGGTCCGTGGGTGACATGAAGAGCAGAATCCTGCTGCGATCCATGATGGCCATATAGGATGAGTGAGAAACAAACCTTTGTTGTTTTAAGTCACTGATAATGTTTGTTACTGCATCTTGAGCTAACTTAATTGAGCCTATTGCATCTGACACAGAGAGAAGCTCCAATTTAAAGTTATTTAGTTAAGTTTTTCTTGGGACAATTTTAGTCAAAGAGAAATTTTCATTCAATTTTTTTCAATAACTTTTCATGAAGTTCCTACCCTATATCAGGTACTATGTAGTTAGGCTCTGTGTTTATAGCAATGAATGAACAATAGAACTGGTCTCTGCTTGCATGAAAATTGAGAGGGGGGCAGAGGAGACAGTAGGCATGTATCTAAATATGATAATTGCTATACCTGGAAAAGTATGCTATTCTCAAAGTATTATCCTAGGAGTCTAGGAGTTTCTTCCCCTTTCTATCTCTGTCTCTCTTCTAAGTTAGGGATTTTTCAGTCACTGAATATATAAGTCTACCTAGAAAGAATGAGAGAAAAGAACAAATCTTTAACTCTTTTTTAAAAAAAACATTTCCCCTTTATTGATTAGAGAGAAACAAAGGGAGAGGGAGAGAGAGATAGAAACATCGATGAGAGAGAACATCGATTGGCCACCTCCTGCATACTCCACACTGGGGATTTGGCCCACAACCTGGGCATGTGTCCTGACTGGGAATCAAACTGGCCACTTCTTGGTGTGTGGTTTGATGCTCTACCACTGAGCCATACCAACCAGGCAAGTTTTTAACTCTTGAGAAGTATCTTGGGATTTTAGAAAACGTGCCTTGTTTGAGCCTGGAACCTGGACTCGAACATTGCTTTTGATTAATGTGTGGCCTCAGACCAGTAGCTAACTCTATTGTGCCCCTGTCTCATCAAACGTAAAATAGCACTAAATATAACCTTCCCTGGCTGACTACATAGTTGCTGCAAGAATTAAATTAGGCAGAGAATATAAGTGTCCCATAAAAATAAAGTGTTATTATTCTTTAAATATTTTACAGTGCATTGGAGGAGCCTATAAATAGCCAGTTTTTTTTTTTTTTTT